TGCACCTTGCAATAAGTTTGCAAGACAGTGTGAATACCCTTATTAAAGGTACTCCTTATATCTTTTAAAATTGTTTGCACGGTTTTTTCAAAACTTCCAACTCTTTTTTTTTGTAGTTTTTTAAATTTTTGCGTTTAGCTGGCACTTTGGCTGTTTGTTTATTTCTTTTCCAAGTAATTACTACAAATACAAATAGGCAGTTTCTACCAGTTCACTTTGTAATTGATAAAAATCATATGCTTAAATTTACTTAATACTAGAACACTTTTTTTTGAACTGTATTTCATCAAAACAAAAATATCCGCAAGACCATTTTGTAAATAAGGACATTTTTAAATATCTGGCTTAATTACTTGAGTAAATTAATTTGAGAAGTTTCTGTATTGCATTGATGTAACTATGCCGTTTTTACTTAACTTTTTGACGCTCTTACATGTTATGACACACAAGAATTAGAAGGTATATGGCTGAATATGTATGGCAATAGATATCTCCTATCGAAGAGCGAATGCCCCTATAGTTGCCAGAGAGAGGTGAGCTAGGCTAACCGTTGTTTTCATTATAACTCTGTGTGACTTAAATATTATTTATTAAAGTTGATTAACTAATGTAAATAAAAAATAATATATGAATATGTATTATATTTAGCTTACGAATGAAATTATTTTTATTTTTTCTTCTGTGTTTATAAACAAACCTCTTCAGTGTCTATTAACACAATACATATTAATTTTAAAAAATATTGGAAGATATGTTTTTTTACATATATATAAAATAAACTAATTACAATTTATTAATAAAATTATTGAAATATAAAAAGTGATATATTACTAAAAAATTTATATAATAAAACATTCAGGTCACTTTGTATGTTGTATGTATATATTATTCAGCATAAGTAGAATTTCAGGTTCACTGCTTTTTTTTGAGTTCCTTTACTTTTCCTTTTTTTCATTTTTATTTGTGTTTTTAATTTACATACAGCAACAGTTGTTAAAAACTTTACTGATACTTATATACACAAGTATATACTATTAATTTGTTTGTATTTAATATATTGGAAATATTATTCACGCAGATTCTTAGTAAGAAGCAAATTGTTATGGTGACCAGATAAATGTCGCACTAATTCTTGAACACTTTTAAAGGACATGGAACAAAAACAGCAACTATATCTGCTTGTTGATTCTGAACCATTTGTTGTGGTTATTACATTCCTATGCACGGAACAGAGATGTTTTAGAAGATGAGCTTTCTGTTTGAACATCGCTACACAGAGGCGGCATGCAAAAGGCTTCTCACCTGTATGAACTCTCAGATGAGTTTTTAAGTTCCATGACATGCCAAATTGTTTTCCGCAATATTCGCAACGATATTCTCGAACTGTATTATGCATATTACACATATTAGCATTGTTCGTTGATATATCTTTTCCTGGTCCCGGATTATCACGATTCAATGAATCTAAATTTAGGTTTATGTGTGATATACTTGTTAATCCTGTTTGTAAGCCAGATAATGTCGACATAGATGAATTTTGTTTCGATTGCCATTGATATACGAATTCCGGTGTTATATGTAATGATGTTTCAGGGCTCTGTGGTCTCGGTATATGGTTTTGCAGGATTTTACGATTGGCTAAAAGTTCGACAGGATTTTGTATATCATCCTCGTAAGATGATAAATTTTTTTCTGATACATAAGACGAAGATTTGGATGAGCGCAGATCATCTAACAAATTAGGTTGACATGAAGCAAACGGTTGATTATGATTTGGAGAATTATGAAAACCAGGTCGTCGTTTTCTATGCGGAGTTACAACATAATTATCAGGTGAATTATTTAGTTCCGAATGATCGGCCAGACCTTGTAATACTTCTTTATTTGATTCGAAATAAAAAGTTTTTCGCTTTATACTATCACTACCATGCAGCGAATATATATCTGAATTTCTGGTTTGCTTTTCTGAACATTTTGTATCGGAATCATCATTTTCATGTTTTGTTCTTAAATCTAAAGATAAATTTACAGGATTAAGAGGTGCAGATCCATTTCGTATTCCATTTGCTTGGAAATCTGTTAAATTTTCATGCTTAAACATCAATATATCATTGCGTAAATCTTTACTATCTTGGTCTTTTTCTAAGTACTCATTATTATCCTGTTGTTCATCTAAATTTCCAAAACCTTCGGAAGATTGTTTTGCATCATTGCTATTATCGTTTTCAGCTTTCAAGGAATGTTCTAAACTCGAACTGTTACTGGTCTGTCCACTTTTTACAGTATCGGATCCAAAACGTTCACGTAAGTTATTGCATTTATTATTAATAATTGTAGAATCCGTTGTTTTCCAATTATCGGACTTTATTTGGAGTAACAAAAGTAAATCGTGTAAATAATTTACATCGCGAGATGTAATGCAAGTTTGTCCGGAATACAAGAAATCTAAGAGAAACTTAAAATATGTTGCATTAACATCAGGAAAGTATACTGTTGTTGTGCAATCGGGTAATTGCGTATCTTCCAATAACATTCTGGAATTAGTCAAAATAAAAAACGATTAATTCTATATAACAAAATTTAGTATATAAAAAAAAAATTAATAGTCTGTTTACAGATGTATCTATAACTGTAAAAGTAATATAAAGTAGAGATTTAATTAATAATATAGTATTATATCATATATTAATTGAACTCATCTTGTTAAAAAGATGAATAACAGCGCCAATTATTTATAATAATAAGTTGTAATAAATAATATTATAATGAACATAGTTGGCTTAATAAAACTAATGATATTGGATAATTGACTAGGTCTAATTGTAGAGTTAACGCGTAAATATGTTGCCTAATTGTATTACATTGGATCTCTAGCCTATTAAAACACCAATATACTTTTTATTTTAAGTATTATTAATCTAATAATAATATTAACAATAATAATAATTACTGTTAATAATAATAATATTGTTAATAATAATTAACATAATTAATATTAATTAATTATGTTAATTATATGTTATGTTAATTATTAATAATTAATTATAATAATTAATTAATATAATTACAATAATAATTAATGTAATTAATTAATTTTTAAAATTAAATTAAAAATCCGATTATAAAATATTTCAAATAAGTATTATTTGTAATTACTCATTTAAACTATTTCGAACTTAAATAACCGGTAGGATACGGATGAATTGATGTGTGCACTCCCTTAGAAAGAGTTGTGCGCTCCCTTCCTCAGCAGAAGAGAGCTGTGGTTGTTATAACCTCATAGAATGTGACCGGATAACGTGTCCTCAAGAATCAAGAATTTGGTATTATATCGGTAGTTCTTGTCTTCGTCTTAATTAGAAATAATTCTATGAAAGGCATTCTGGCCATCAATCAAAAGGGTAATCGTTTCTTTTTAGCTGGTACCACTGAAGTACAAATGGAATGCCGCAGTATTCTGCTTTATTGTGAGTCTGTATTCTTACTAATTTCTATTATATTCTAAGTATTTCAAAGTTAACCTTAGAAATGCATTTTAAAAATATATTGCTTTTTGCAGTTTATTAGAGCACACATTAGCACAACTTTTAAGAACAGCCAACAGGAAATGTAATATTGAAACAATCATAGTATATGGTAAGAGCAAAAGACATAATTTTTTCTTCCACCGACCTTGGAGAAAAAACACTAACTTTCGTTGTTAGCACTTTTTTTTTGGGTACCCAACAAGTACTTGAATTTGTGAACTTGTAGTTGTTGAAATATCCGTGTCCAGACAGAACTGAGTAAGATAGTAGTTGACCTCCCCAAGATGCTTGCTAGCCAGTTTTTCAGCTCTAGGATGAGCCTTGAGTCTATCCATCGTCCACAGTTATCAGAGTTCCAACGTTTCTGCTATACTGGTGCTATACTGCTATACCCCGACTGCCTGGCTATTCGCTTTTGAGCCAGGAGATCAATACGTATATTGTCACTAATCACCAGCAACTCTTGCTTCAGACACAGCATGATACATTAAAGGTATCCTCAATGCTGCTGTTCGTTGCACTAACGCTAACGCTTAGTTACTACACTAAAAAACTATAATGTGTTCACTTTTTACATTAGTTCGCTGCAATTAATCTGTTCAAGAATCGATCTTACTGATTATTATTGTTTCGATATTACATTTCCTTCTTTGAAAAAATATTGTAATAATATCGCTTAAAATAAATTGATCTATACGTAGCATTAAAATTAACCTTAAAAAATCTAATCTAAAAAATTTTTATTATAAAATTACAGAAAAAAAATTTGAATTAGGTAGAACAATTAAACTAAATAGTATAGAGAAGTATACTTTGAATAAATTCTATTATATTATCTTTTTAGTTTTAGTTAAGGAATTTTCATAGTGTATATCATATGTCATATGTATATATATATAGTAACTGTTATTTACCTTATCAATGGACTTGCTGCTGCAAGAACTAATTTATGCGCATGCAGTTTCACTTTGTTCTCACAAACGATGGTCAGGTCGGCAGGATGTTCGCCTCTAAATGCTGCACCAATTTCTTTGAGTATGCACTCTCCATGCTTACTATATTGCAACATTAACATTCTTGGTAACTATAAGATTAAAAAAAAATAATATTAAATTTAATTGCAAACCTTGAATTAAACAAAAATCATAGGTGTGAGTACAGGTATGTATGTTAATTATCACAATGCATTGCAGGTTTAAATGCGCTACATTTCAAAAGATAGAAATTGGAACCTAACCTATATATAATTTTAACTCTATAATAATTTTACATATAACTGTTTAATTACACTCTAAAAACAGATTCACATTAGAAATTGATATCAATTATTTTCAAATACAATTAGAAACCGTATGTTTTTTGATGAA